ACCCCACGGTCGGCAGGATACTCTTGAAGTCGCCCTTCGCGAACCGGAGAGCCAGGCTGGACTTGCCCACAGAGCCGCCTCCCAGGAGGACCAGCTTGAACACGGAGGGCTGGCCCGGCGCCACCCCGTCCACCTGCGCCATGCCCTGCGGCGTCCCGAGGAGGTCCGTGTCCCCACGGGATCACCCGGGCGCTGCTTCCCTGCAGGACAGACAGAGCTCCAAGTCAGAGGCCGGGGCGGCACCCCCGCTCCGCTCTGCACCCCATTTCCCCACCCGTAAACGGGCAAACACTGCATTGTGGGGCGCGCGGATGGATGGTGCCCGCCGGGGGCCACTGCACCCCGAGAAGCAGCAATGACGGCCGCTTATGGCAGTGACTGATTACCCCCATTCCACTCACTCTCACTTTTTAAAAAAACCTATTACTTATTCCAAAAAGTATCTGAAACCTCAGTGTTTGGTTCAGGGATTAAAGCTAATGTTTCAAAAAATAATCTACCTAACAAGGTTGGTGCTTCAGGACCCTCGAAACCTTTCAGCTTCCGGTGGCATCTAGAGCCTCAGAACCCACAGTGACACGCCCTGGAGAAAAGCAGCTCTGGGTCAGAATAGATTTCGGCAAACCCTGTGTGTTTGTTGACTACAGAAAATCCCAGGCACACAGAGCACAGTAGAGAGAATGCAGATCTTTCTATGGCCGTGTGCGTCCGTCACCCACTTCCACAATGACCAGCTGTGGAATGACAGATCGGTTTCCCGCACCCCCAACCCCCCACCACCAAAGATTAGTTTGAAGCAAATCCCAGACATCCTATTGTTTCGAATGCAAATCACGCACAAATGGGAAAGCACCTGAAAAGCCAGCTGGCCCTCCAGGAATAAAGTTTCCAGCCCTGGCGATTCTTAAACTCTGAATGAAGGCCCAGGAAGCATAACCAGTCAGCGGTGTCTCAAAGTTCAGTGTCACCAGAGATCATCGCTCAGCTTCACCATCGGCTCCGCTCACTTCTGTCTGTTCAAGTTGATTAAATCTCCCTCCACCGCAGCCTCCTATCTGGTCTGGCAGCTGCCATCCCTCCCCCTGCTCATGTGTCCAGTCCCCATAAATAGCAGCTAACGAAATAGATGGGCTCTGCAGTCATGGGGCCTACAGTCCCCTGTCCTCTTCCTGGTTGAAATTATCTTAGTTTTTAACTCTACTTTAATTCACAGCATTTTTTTCATGACATCTCTCTCGCTGGGCCAGAACCCCTCATGAAAGCGAGGTCTGTATTCATTGAGCATATAGGACGTGCAAGGTCACGTGAACGCGCTGGGAATGGCTTAGCAGGAAGCCTTTGCCAGACAGACACGTTGCTTCCCACGGCGTATCTGCGAAAAGAGAGAACGGAAGGGCCTCCAGCCTCTCGAGGGCTCAGCTCTGAGAGGCCAAGACAAGCAGACCTCTCCTTACGTTAAGGCCGCCCCGTGAGGGTGCTCAGGCGACAGGGAGGAGCTGAGCGAGCCTAACGGGTGGGTGCGCTCACGGACGCCCGCTTGGCTGGGCTGCTCGGAGCCTCCTCCAGAAGCTGAGCAAGAAGCCTCCGGGGGCCTTCTCTCTTCCCGAGAGTCCCGGCAGCTTTCCTAAGACAGACGGGCTGCCTGCACGTCCACACCGAACCCACCGGGCCCCAGAATGGTCTCAGCCACTCACGGGACCCGCCACACGGCTTCCCACATCAACGAGCCTGCCCGGGGCATCACCAGCCTGGACTCACTGGCCAAGACCGTCCGCTCTGTAGCAAGCCCTAACTTATAAACTGCTTTTTTCCCCCCAATACTCAGAGAAACAGAGAGCAAAGTGATAGTTACCAGGGGCTGGGGGTTGGGGAAATGGGGAGATGTTGGTCAAAGAGCACAAACCTGCAGTTATAAGATTAATAAATTCTGGGACTCGTGTACACAGCGTGGAGATTATAACTAATAACACTGTATCATCTACCCGAAAGTTGCTAAGAGATTATAAATGTTCTCACCACAAAAGAAATAGCAACTATTTGACAGGAGGGAGGTGTGAGCGGATGCTACCCTGGTAATTATCATTTTGCCACATTTAAATGTATCAGAGCAACTGTGTTGCACACATTAATCTTACACAATGTTATCTGTCAGTTACATCTCAATAACACTGAAACAGGGAACACCCTTAAGAACAGAATTTCTGAGTTTCTGTGCTACCCCAGGCTAATATCTTGTTTCCTGCTGGGGTTACTGAAGGCGCCTGCTTAGAAGCAGATGATCCATCGATTCATGTTGTAATTTTACGTAGAGAGAAAGTTCTAACGCACCTACAACAATGCATTCTCAAGCATTTAAAGAAACCCCTTTAAGTTTTCCTTGCTAGTTTTCCCTCGCAATTAACAAAAGTCTTTGTGAGTCCAGAAAATCTTTAGCCCAAAATATTTTGGTTTGAATTCATCAAAATACGTGGAATATGAATGAATATACCATTTCTATAATACCACACACCAGCATCTTATTCCTTTGTCAATAATACATCTGTTAAAAAAAAAAAAACCTTTTACTATAAATATAAACACATCATTGTCAATATGAAAAAAAAATTGGAAATACTCATAATTCCATGCCCTTAATACAACCAGGAATGGTGTTTTGCCTACTAGCTTCTATTCTTAAAAAATAAATCTTAAAAACAAACAAGCTAAAACCCGTAGTTTTGATATAAAATTTTGTATCCTGCCTTTAAAACAACAACATATATCGACATATATCAACACATTGCTATCTATGTTATATGTGACTTCAACATATATATATTTGATGACCTAACATTCCTGCAACTATTCCAATTTGCCGAACCATTTTCCTGTTACCGTATTTTCATGTGCTTTAAATTTTTTTCTCTAATAATCAGACACAGAAAGCATTTTCATGCCTAACTTTTTGCGTGATTACAGATTGTAAGCTTTCAATAATCAGAGGTTGGAGCCCTCTATTCAGACAGAAAATTGAAAATGTGCCCCCTGACCCTGCCTCTAGATTTTAATCAAGATGTGGTTCTTTGAAGCCTTTCAGAGCACGAGGACCTCTCAGGAATGCAGTACCCGTGACAGCTAATCGGGACCCCCTCTTCAGCATCGGGACGTGGGGCGTTTCCCTTTCTTACGAGCCTGCCTCCCATCCGCCCAAGGCGGGGTGGGAAGATGCAAACCCTAACGAGTCTTTTTTGGAGGGAAGGCATCCCAGGGAAGGGTCCGGACCGCTGGGTCTATTGTCGGGATGTCCCTCGTGTGCGCGACCCTTGCCGGGCGTGTAAAGGACACCGAGATTTCTGTGTGGCTGTCTGCTCGGGCGTCAGTCTGTACCGGCTGAGCATCCGGGTCCCTCACTCACAGCAGTTCACCTGCAGCTGGAACTTCAAGAGGAATCTCCTTCCAGGAGCCAGGAGGACCCACGCGGGGCACTGCGACCCTCAGGAGGATGGGCCCCTCCCCCCGCGGTGGCCTTTCGGTGGTGCACATGCCGCACACGGTCACACACAGACGCGGATATGAACACAGACACACAAGACTCCCCCCCCCCACACACACACACAGACACTCTGTCAAGTACACAGAAGTTTAAATAATGACTCACGCGTCCCCAAGCCTGGTCACTACCAGGAAGCCTGACAGCCTGTCATCACCGGCTGCTGCAGGGCCCCTACCTGTCTGCCGTTCCTCCTCGTAAGGAAAGGTCAGCTTCCTCCGCTAGGCCTCTGGGCGGTGGCTGAGGCAGCCGGAGGGGCGGTGGCTCTGCTCCAACAGAAAGCAGGTAGAAGTGACAGTCTGCCCAGCCCCCCGCAACAGGGTCAGGCTGCTCCCTTCCAGCCAGGCTCCCAGGGCAAGGTCTGCTGGTCATGTGGCCACCTGGGCCAGGGACAGGGCGGGAGGCTGGACCATGGAGCAGGCGCAGCAGGAGCACCTGGGCGGCCAGCCGGAAGTCAGACTCTGGTCAGGTGTTTGTGGTCACCCAGCGCCGGCCGAGTCCCCCAGCCCTGGTAGGGCCCCATTTCAGCACACATCTCCCTGCTCTTCCTCGGACCTGTGCGGCTCTTGGCCGCGGTTGAAACTAGCAGCCCAGAAGAGAAGGAAGGATTTCGGTCAGGTGAACTCATTCCTCCCACAGACGGCTGGGAGCCGGCTCCTTTAGGGCCCTCCCTGCCCCTGGCACCAGAGGCTACCCAGGTAGGCTGGTCCGGGGCCAGACGACCGGATCCTGGCTGGGTGCCACCTGGGGGCAGGGCGCTGCATGTCTCTAATACCCTCCGCTCTCCTGTCACCCTCCAACCTGATTCTGCACCCCCGTGGCCCCATCGCAGCATCCTGCCTACCCCAGTGCCCGAGCGAATGCACACGGGGGGGGGCCGTGCACTGCCCAGGCGATGCAGAAGCTACCCCGGGGCCTCAGGCTCAGGCAAACCCCACCGCTGGGCCAGGGCTCCAGACCTCCTTTGCCTCTGCTCTGCGGTTTGGCCTCGCCACACCGAGAGCCACTCGCTCACCTTTAAGTCAGAAGGCGCCTTCCCGTGCAGCGTGCGAAGTCGGGCTCGGCACCTGGTGGGGAGGATGGAGACCGAGCACACAGACGTTCTGACCATGACCCCACCTGGACGAGGTCACATGCACGTCAGAACCATCACGCCTGCATGGGAACGAGGCAAAAAATGAACCCCCTCCCCCACCAAAAAATAAAACAGAATGCAAGCAATTTACTTACAGGACCACAATTAGTGTTATTTTTATACGGCTACACCAACTTTTGACCTTCTCTCCTGGCGTGTTATCAGCTTTCCTGTATTAGCATTAATAGGGAGAATTTCCACCACGGCACGTAATCAGGCCACACACACATGCATATTCCCCCTTCAAAAGAAATGCACAATTACAGAACTTTGGAGCCGGGAGGGCCCCTGGGGAGCGTCTGGTCTGAGCACCCACCCAGAGTCTGAAAACTCTCGGCAACACCCCGTCCAATTGATTCTTCGGTCTCTGCTCAAATACAGACAGAGTCGGGAGCGTCTGCCCCTGAGGCAGCCGTGCACACGGATTCCGTCCAGCCACATCGGCCTTTCGCAACTGTCCACCTGTCACCCTCCCAGGGTCATTTGGCCGCGGGCCGACCCACGGTTGTATAAGCATTTCTGAGATTTTTGAAGAAGCTGTCGGGGCTCTGTGCCAGACACAACGTGCAGACCCATGGCCCCCGCTCCTTGTAACGACACCCCATGTGGCTCAGAGTGTGAACACTTTCCAGTAGACGTGCCTGATGACCCCGCCCTGCGGTTCATGGGGAAGAGGGGGCTCCCCTTCCTCTTTGCGGAGCTGTAGTTAAGCCCCAAACTCTTAGTGTGGTAGGTATCTGAGGTCTAGATCTTCTGGAATGTTATCTCCCAGGGACTTTGTAATGAGCAGGTACAGTCACTTGCTGTGCCTGAAACCTTCGCCCTCCCTTATCTCAATGGAAAATTCCACCGGGGTTTCTGAACAGCAAGTTGAATTCCTCAGCTCAAAAGTCAGTTTCGTGCTTGGCTGCCCGCCAGGCTGGGGAGGGCCGAGCAGAGCAAAGTCCTGCCACTGGACTCCCAGGGCCAGCAAGGACAGGACAGGTGCCCACACGGAGGCAGCCACTCTGGGTCCCTGGCCAAGTAGAAGGGGAGGGGGAAGGGAGACTGGAGAGGGGGTGCCGACACAGGAGCTGGCAGATGGCGAAGGCGTTTGCCCGAAGGCCAGGGGAGGAAGGGTTTTCTGAGCCCCAGCAGCAGTGTGAGCGCAGTGCGAGGGGCCTGGAGTGGCCTGCTGTGTGGGGACACCAGAGGACACTGCCAGGGTCTGGGGTGGAGGCCAGAGGGGTGAAGATGGAGAGCCTTGGCCAATTCTGTGGAGACTAGACACAACAAAACCAAAGCAGCGCCTGGCACTGAGCACCTACTGTGGACCAGGTACTGTGTAAGGCCCGGACTCCAAACGGCTGATCTCATCCTCTTCCTCATGGCAACCCCACCCCGTGGGCACGGCCCAGGGTCCCTCCGCCGGCCCCTCCCCGTGGGCAAGGAGTTTATGGGGCCCCCAACGTCGAGATCACGCTCCCAGATCCCGAACCCACAAAATTCTCTGCCCAAGGAGCCCCCAAGCCCACTTCCGGGGCCACCCTCCTGAAGCAAACCATGCCCCCAGCGTGTGCACCCAGGCCCCTCGTGGTCAGAGGCGCTGTCGCTGGGCAGGCTGACTGGAGAGACCAGAAGACTTGGTAAATGAAGACACTAAATATATTCCTGGATCAGATACTGGCCATCGTGAAGCTGACGCTCGGCAAAACTCAACTGAATTTAAGGCAATATGAGCCACCCTTTCATTAACGTTCTTGGTGAGACGTGTGACAGTCTACCATGCAGTGCAGGCCGCCGTGGCCTGGCCGTGCCCCATTTCTCCTCCCAGCGGGATAATTAACATGTTGTAAGCTCGCGTGCCCCCCTTATGAGTAGATGCTGAGCACAGCCTACAACAGGGGCGAAATTTGTTAGTGCGAACACTTTCCTGGGCGCTCCTGCCGTGTGCCGCCCGAAAGGTTCTGTCTTCGCTCCGCCGCCCTCCTCCCTGCCTTCCGCGAGCGGCCTGCCCAGCCCAGGCTGATTCCCGGCCTCCCCCGAGGTGGGAGACTGGGTGGTGACACAGGGCTAGAGAGGAAGAAAAGGGCGTGGGGACCCCCCGGGGCAAAGTGGGCCAGCACACAATCTTCCCACTTTGGTCCTCAGCCCGTCTGTCCTCGTGCTTGATGTGCATCTCTTGTGAACAGTATACGGAGTTGCGTAGACTTTTTTTTATCCCGTGTGTCTTCAGTTCAGTGTCTGGCCCACTTACTTCTGACGTAATCATTGCCGTGGTCCTGCTTAAGTCGACTGTTCCTTTTCTGTTTGTTCTCTCTGTCCTTCGTTCCTGTCTCCCTCTTTCCTGTCTCCTTTTGATTTAATCGAGTTTTTTTTAATGTTCCATTCTATCTCCTTTTTCTGGTTTCTTGAGTATATTATATCATATTTTTAAGTTCTATGATTTCGATTTGGTTCTTTTTTAGAATTTCTGAATCTCTCCTAAAATCCGCCACTTCTTTGCCCATTATATGCATCTTTCCTTATAGATTCTTTGCCATATTTATCACAGTATTTCATACTTCTTATCCATTAATTCCAACATTTGGTTAGCTTGTGGGTCTGAGTCGATTGATTAGTTGTTTTGTTTTTTGTTCTTGAGCAAGGGTCACTTTTTCCTGCTCCTTCATATATCTGGGAACTGTCATTGTGTCTTGAATATAACGAATAATTCGTTGAGAAATGCTGGATTCTTTTCCTTTGAAGAGTGTCGCGTTGGTTCTAGCAGCCAGCTAAATTACTGTTGGATCACCATGAACTCGTGGCAACTGCTCGTTGGGGTAGGACCAATTTTGGTTTGCCATTAATTCTAGGATGAATCTTAGTCATGGCACATAGTCTTTGCTCCTAAGCTGAGGCCCTTCTGGGGTTTCAGTGGAAAGTCTGAGGGGTCCACCCCACCCATCTACTTCACAGAACTTAAACTCCAAACTCAGTCTCCCCTACAGCGGGTAGCAGCTGAAATCTCTTACAGGTGCTACCTTACAGGTGTGGCTTCCCACAGGGCCTCTTAGAGTCTCACCTGTGTGTGAACTCTTGAGGGCTCACTAAGTGTTTGAGGAGAATTAATACACAATATTTGGGGGCTCTCTCCTCTGTGAATCCCTTTTTAAGATTTCACCCCTCCCTCCAACAACTGCAGAATACACATTCCGCTCAAGCTCGCATGGAACATTCACCAAGAAAGGCCACATTCTGGGTCATAAAACACACCTTAACAGGTTTAAAATAACGGAAATCATACAATATCTGCTCTCAGCCCACAGTGGAGTTAAACTAGAAATCAGTAACAAAAATAAACTGGAAAATCCAAAAATTTGAAGAGATTGAATGATATACTTCTAAATAGCACACGAGTCAAAGAATATCAAAAAGAATTTAAAAGTATTTTTAACTAAATGGAAATGAAATTACAAATTATCAAAATTTGTGGGATGCAGAGAAAGCAGCACTTAAAGGGAAATGTATAGGATTGAATGTATATATTAGAAAAGAAGAAAGATCTGAAATCAGTAATCTACGTTTCCACCTTAGGAAACTATACAAAGAAGAACAAATTAAATCCAAAGTAAGAAGAAATAATAAGAATTAGAGCAGAAATCGATGAAATTGAAAATAAGAGATCAAGAGAAAAAATTAAAGAAACCAGAAGCTGGTTCTTTGAAAAGATCAATAAAATTGATAAGCCTCTAGCCAGGCTAAGAAAAAGAGAAGAAACAAATTACTAATATTGGAAATATTAGTATAATAAAAGAGTATGATGAAGTACTCTATGACCTAAAATCTAATAAGCTAGAGGAAACAGACCAATGCCTTGAAAGACACAATTTGCCAAAACTCACATAAGAAAAAACAGACAATCCAGATAGGACTATATTAAAGAAATCGAATCAATAATTAATAACCTTCTAAAACGGAAAGCACTGGGCCCAGACGGGTTCGCTAAATATTGGTTCTACCAAACATTTAAGGAAGAAATTATACCAATTTTCTGTAATCTCTTTCAGCGGCTAGAAGCAGAGGGAATACTTCCTAACCCAATCTATGAGACCAGCATGACCCTAATACCTCACAGCCAATCAGCTCAAGGGTCAGTCCCTCCCAACGACGCACAAACAGCAACCAAGTCTCCACTACAACAGGAGGGCACACACAGCCCGCACAAGGGGCACACCTGCAGCACCTGGCTCAGGTGGTCAGGGGAGACTACGTCACTGGCCTCACAGGACACCTACTACATAAGGCCACTCTACTAAAACCAGGGAACTGAGGAGCGCTACCTGATACATAGAAACAAACACAGGGAGGCAGCCATAATGGGGAGACTTGCTGCCTACAAGAGACTCACTTCAGGTTGAAAGACACGCACAGACTGAAAGTCAAGGGCTAGAAAAAGATATTTCGTGAAAATGGAAAGGAAAAAAAATCTGGGGTAGCGATACTTACACCAGACAAAATCGACTTTCAAACAAAAGGTACAGCAAGAGACGAAGAAGGACCCCATAATCCCATCTCGGGGTATTTATCCGAAGAAACCCAACCCTACTTCAAAGGGACGTGTGGATTCATATGTTCATTGCAGCATTATTTACAACAGCCGAGATACGGAGGCCACCTGGGTGGATGGACGGATAAAGGAGAGGTGGTACATATATATGCAGTGACATGGACTCAGCCATAAGAAAGAACGAGCTCTCGCCATCTGCAGCAACATGGACGGACCCAGAGGGCGTCGTGCTGAGTGGGGTGAGTCAGACAGAGGAAGACAAAGGCCGTCTGATGTCACTTACATGTAGAATCTAAAGAACAAAACAAACAAACGAAACAGAAACAAACTCATAGATGCGGAGAACATTTTGGGGGTCGCCAGATGGGGGAGGGGTGTGACAAAGTGGAAGGGATTAAGAAGCACAAGGAGAGCATTTTGGGGGTCGCCAGATGGGGGGGGTGTGACAAAGTGGAAGGGATTAAGAAGCACAAATGGTTAGTCACAAAACAGTCAGGGGTGGAAGGTACAGCCCAGGGATACAGTCAATGCTGTTGGAATAACTGTGCACGGTGTCGGATGGTGCTGGGCTCATCGGGCCAATCATTTCGTAAGTTATATAAATGTCTAATCACTATATTGGAATAACTGTGCACGGTGTCGGATGGTACTGGGCTCATCGTAAGTTATATAAATGTCTAATCACTATGTTTCGCCCCTGAAACGAACATGATATCGTATGCCGACTGCGACTGAACAAGGAAAAGTATTTTAAAACCGGTCGATGGAATCCATC